TCCTCGTTCGTTCTGCCGTGGTTGGCAGAATATGGCGTCTCTTGTTAGAAAATAGTTGTGATTTTAGTAAGTGAAACGTGATTAGTGTTTATACATGTATTTTGGATAAACTTTTAAGGTGTGAATATGGTTAGACAGTGCAGAATTTGTAAGAAATTGGATTATAAACATCCACATCAGCTATCCTTCCACAGGTAAGCGTGCTTGAAGGTGACTTTGGAATGTATATGCAACTGTGGCCATTGTCGTGCGTGTGGGTAACTTTTATTTGAATAACGGTAAAATTTTATAAAACTGACTTGGTATTTTTTTAAAATTTTTGCTGAAATAGTAAGAAAACAATAATATGAACCACGTTTGGCCATTAAAATCAAAGGAAAATGCTGCACCACAAATAAGTTACAGACATTATTTATATTTAATATATTTATAGGTATTTCAATGTTATCCCTTATACCCAACATTACAAATTTTAATCATTCATCATTTTCATTTTCCTCTACGACAAAAACCTTTTCAAAAATATATTTACAATTTTACTAAATGCACGAGCATAAAAACTGAATAAATACAACAGCAAAAATATGGTGGTGGTTCACTTATACATAAAAATACCGAAGATGCAATCAACTGAAAGTTGCATTCATTCAACCATTTGATGTTCTCCTTTGGGAATATATTTTTATGTCTCACTGAAAATTTGCCTCAGTATTCTAAAAGTGAAATGTGAACGTTTTTAGGATGCTTGGGGATGGTGCAACAAGAAAGAAATGGTTACATTTATTGGGATTCCAAGAAGTTATAAAAATATTATATATATTTATTATAAAAATACTGAGTAGCTGTTGAAATATATTGACTTAGGACTATAAAATATTTTATTTTGACCCATCCAAAATGTACGACATTGGAGATGTAATCGCGCGCATCAGTTGGATGAAAATAAAGCCCTCTGCTTTCCCCTTGTCTAGTTTCACCCAACATATGAGATAGACTGTGACATGCATAGTCCCCTTTATTTAATTGTCTTTGGTTTGAACGTACGCCTTTAAATTACGAATTAAGACAAACACAGTAACAACTAAAAATTGTATTATGCTTAAGTCTAATTACAAAAGATTATCAATGTTTTTTTGTTGTTTTCAATACATTTTTTTATTCTCTCGTTAAAATTTTGTCTGACACTGAATAGACTTCTTTGTTGGTCTCTGGTAATGTTAACAGATTCTTGTATTTTTGCCCACAGCTCTTCTCGAGTATAACATCTTTATAAACTAGACTAAGATTTAACGTTACCCCAGAAATAAAAATCTAGGGGATTTAAATCAGGGCTACGCGCAGGCCAAGGCACTTCACTGCCACGACCAATCCAACGGTTTCGAAAACTTATATCAAGATATTCTCTTACTGGTCGGGAGTAATGAGCGGAAGCACCATCATGCATAAGCCAAAAGGTTTGCCGTAAAAAGGGGATATTTTCAAGAACGAGTGGCAAGTCATTTGTTAAAAAATTTATATAAGTCTGCCTAAAATAACACGTAGAATCCAAAATTGCAATAATATATAGGGTGTTCCATTTAAAATAAGCAAGTTGACGGCGACTTCCGGTATAACCGGAAGTGGTACGTGGACGCCATTATTTTAGTTGAAAAGGGCGTGCTCGAAAACCCGGTATCCCAAATTTTCAAAATTCAAATCGAAGTAGTCTCTGAAATAATTCTAAAGAGCCCTCACCGTGGCACACCCTGTATAATTCTGCCACTACTTTTTCAAATAACTAATTTTTATTGTTTATTAGGTTGGTATCGTCATGATAGTGTTTTCGATTTCAAATATAAATTAAATAATTGCATATAACACAATTGTTTTATTTTATTGCAGTTTTCAAAAAAATATTGTTTGCATCTCGAACCCGAATAGCTTTTGCGTTCTCGAATGGATATTTTGCAATGATCTTTATGACAATACAATCACCTTAGCATTTAAACGACTATGATGACAGATCCAGTTTATGGTAAAAACGCAGAAAGTGCATCACATTGCACGAAGACGTTGCTGATTTAATATTCATATATCATTGTCGTCGCATGCCTTTCAGATGCAACATACTTATGCAATCGGCGTATCTCTTACTTTCATTCCATTCCTTTTATAAGACGAAACGACATTTTTAACTTTACACAATAATTTAAAAGCAAAAGAAATACATAATAGTGGATTAAATCGACCGATGGGATTTTTCTGCAGGTAGTTGGAGGCACGTCGGTCATGAACGGCATGATGTATATCAGAGGGTCCAGGAAAGACTACGACGATTGGGCTGCGCTAGGCAACGAGGGTTGGAGCTACAACGAAGTCCTCCCTTACTTCTTAAAGAGCGAGGACAACAAACAAATCGACGAGATGGACCAGGGCTTCCACTCCAAGGGAGGTCTTTTGACTGTGTCTAGATTCCCTTACCATCCACCGCTATCCAAGGCAATTCTAAAGGCGGGCGAAGAACTAGGTACGTTGTCTTCCCAATTTTGGTACCTTTTGGTACAGAGGAATATTTCAGGTTACAAAACAAGAGACTTGAATGGAAACCACCACACCGGCTTTGCCATAGCACAAACCACCAACAGAAACGGCTCGAGAATGAGCACGGCCAGAGCATTTTTGAGGCCTTTCAAGCACAGGAGGAACCTGCAGATCCTGATGAACGCCACGGTGACAAGAGTCCTTATAAACACGAACACGAAGCAAGCTTACGGGGTTGAGGTGTTGCGTGATGGAAAGAAACAGGTCATCTATGCCAGTAAGGAAGTTATAGTGTCCGGAGGTAAACTACTCGGTACTCACAAGTTGTTGTATCTGAATTAATCTCCTTCTAGGTGCTGTGAATTCTCCTCAAATTCTTCTTCTTTCCGGAGTGGGACCAAGGGAGGAACTGCAGAAGGTAAATGTGCCGGTGGTGCACGATTTACCTGGAGTTGGCAAGAATCTCCACAACCACGTTGCCTTCTTCATCAACTACCACATCAACGACACCAATAGTGCTCCATTAAACTGGGCTACTGCTATGGAGTACCTGCTTTTCAGGGATGGGCTCATGAGTGGTACAGGTTAGTCATTTGAAACATGAATCAAATTTGATCAATTATAAAGTTACACTATAGTAGTAGCCCTGGAACTGCTCTTAGAGGAACACCATGCTCTTAAAGTCATGAATTCATTTGAAATGATTATAAAACAATTTTTTAGGTATATCAGAGGTGACGGGTTTTGTCAACACCAAGTACCGAAATCCTGAACTGGAAGACCCGGACATCCAGTTCTTCTTTGGAGGTTTCTTGGCGAACTGTGCCCGAACAGGGCAAGTTGGCGAGAAAGTGGACAACAGCACCAGGTCGATTCAGATAATACCCACGGTTCTGCACCCAAAGAGCAGAGGTTAGCCTTTTTATCCATAACTTACTTGATATTGACACTGTCATTGTTCCAGGATCTATCCGGTTAAGGGATAACAACCCTCTAACCTACCCCATGATCTTCGCCAACTACTTCACCCATCCAGATGACATCAACACTCTGGTGGAGGGAATCAAAATTGCCCTGAAGCTAGCAGAAACAAAAGGTACGAAACGGTAGTTATATTTGATGTCTTGAATCCATGTTTGTGTTACAGCGTTGAAGAAATATGGCTTCCAATTGGACAGGACGCCGGCACCTGGTTGCGAGAACATCTCCTTCGGGTCGGATAGTTACTGGGCGTGCGCAGTGAGACAACAGACAGGTCCGGAGAACCATCAAGCGGGCAGCTGCAAGATGGGGCCCTCTAAGGACCCCATGGCTGTCGTCAACCCGGATTTGCAGGTATGGGAGTGATAAAACTATTTTTAAGTACACAATTTTCATTTTTTTTTTCTATTTTAGGTATATGGGATCGACAGATTGAGGGTAATAGACGTCAGTATAATGCCAAGGGTGACCTCCGGCAACACCAACGCCCCCGCGATCATGATAGCGGAAAAGGGGTCTGATTCCATAAAATCAAGATGGCTGACGCCCGAATCGGGGTTTTTCTACACGAATTCCCCTAGCCAGAGAATAGACAGGCAGTGGGGGTCTTGGTAATGTCCCTGCACCACCTAGAAGTATTTCAATTGACTTTTTTTTAACTCGGACAAGTGGTGGACTTTAAAGACGTACAATTGCGTGTCAGTGTAGCGTTTTGTAGTTATATATTTCGAATTTATAAAGAATTAAACACATTTAGTTTTCAATGGCGTCCTTGGGTTGGATTAAAAATCATGGTGGTGATGGTGCAGTTCATTCAACGTGAAATGGTAATAGTGGAAGGTAAAACAAGGGACAATACTATTCTTAAAAAGAACGTGAATTTGGAATTAAAAATAAAATCAGTGCTCAGAAAGACATAATGACGTAGATTTGTGGTAAACACGATATTTCTAACAAAATTTCAACCATTATATGATGTGACGTCTTAAAAACGTCCGATTAACATTTTTTCTCGTGAAATAAAAGATCTATCTTTGGAATCCGATGTTCTACAATGTATATCTAAAAAAATGTAAATAAAAATGTAATACGTCTATAAACTGACGTCTTTTTAGCGTTTTGGTGGTTTTAAATGCATTTGGACCAATTTTAGAGACTAACGGTGATTGTAAATTTAAATTATTTGTAATGTATATAGCGGTTACTAAAAAAATAAGCCCAGCAACCTACATTGAGAAAACTGGTTTCATTATAGTCAATTATTATTTTTTTTCTTCTGGAATGCACCAAATATCAGTAAGGCAGCATATTCTACAAATTTCTGTACAAATATATCAGTACAACATGCACAGACGTAATTGTTTATATTGTATAGAGAAATCTATGTACCTAATTTATCATTTAGTATTTATTGTTATTGTGTGAATTTCAAATAAATTTTTTACAGTACTTCCTGAGTTTTTTAAATTATCTGTTTAAAAATATCTTATTATTATCTCTATGAATTAAAAAAATGTTCCTAGAAATTCCATCTAATGAAGCCAAACAATGTTTTTTGATGCCAAAGTCTCGATATGAGAAAGATTTCTAGTTCCCTTTAAATATACAGTACGCGCCTAAAGTATGGAATAAATTCAGTAACAATGAAACAAATTTTTTTTGGGAAAAATCCTCGAACAGGTCGATTTTTAATTTAAAAAATACATATTTTAGCATAAAAGGTCATTTTCAACCGTCATTTGTTTTCGAGTAATGACGTCATCGGCTTATTTTTTAAATAGCAACCCCCTACTTTTTTCTTGATTCTGAAAGTTCGTTTCATTGTCGATCCGACAGTATTAAAATGTTGCCATCTTACGTAGGAAAGTTTTCGAGTAAATGACGATTGAATGATAGAAAACGTAAATTTTGTTCATTAAAAAAATAACAATTCCTATGTCAAGCAAATACAATTCATTAAGTTTTCTACCTAAATTAAGTGTTCGAATTGCCACCCACCGACTTCTTGACAATACGCAAGTCTGTGTAGAAATTCTTCTTGCACATTATGAATTATTTCTGGGGTAACTCTGTGTATTTCATCTATAATACAATTTTGGAGTTCTTCTAAATTATGTGGTCTATTAACGTACACTTTGGACTTTAAGTAGCCCCATAAGAAATAGTCCAGGGGTGTAAGATCTGGGGATCTCGCGGGCCATTCTATCGGTCCTCGTCTGCCGATCCACCTCCTAGGAAAACAATTGTCCAGAAAATCTCGAACAGGGCGCGCATAGTGCGGAGGTGCACCGTCTTGCTGAAACCATATGGTGTCATCAGGAATATCAGGGTCATTATCGTTAGGAAAAATTACTGCAAGCGCTGGAACAAGGTCATTTTGTAAAAACTCTAAATATCTTTCTCCTGTAAGGGTTCCTTCAAAGAAGAAAGGCCCTACTATTCTGTTGTCAACTATTCCAGCCCACACATTTAATTTCTGTGGGTGTTGGGTATGTGTCTCTGCCATCCAATGAGGATTTTCCCGACTCCAATACCTGCAAGTTTGACGGTTCACTGTACCATTGAGACAAAACGTGGCCTCGTCTGAAAAAAGTATTTGCCGGTGTAAATCTCTATTTACTTGACATAAATCCATCATAATTTCACAAAAGTGTAAGCGGCGGTCCGGATCATCTTCATTGAGTTCCTGTACAAGTTGAATTTTGTAGGGATGATATTTTTCCTGCCTCAGGATATGTAGCACTGTGGTCTGATTAATTTCATTGTTTAATGCAACCAATCGTGAAGTATTACGAGGATTATCTACCATAGCTATCAAAATGTTCCGTTTGTGATCTTCACCAACGCTTGGACATCCAGGTTTTGGAATATCTACAACATTGCCAGTTTCTCTAAATTTAGATTATATCTTACTGACTGTTGATTGGCTGATACGGCGATCTGGATGTTTTTCATTAAATAAATCGCAAACTTCCTGCTGCGTTCTAGTCTTATCCCCGCATCCGATAAGAATTAAAGTTTCAATTCTTTGTGTGACAGTTAAATGTGCCATAATACTTTAAATTCAACAATATTTTTTTTATATCGCCTACAATACTTAGAAAGTCGGTATGACGGTGACACTTTGTAAAGATTTACACCTACGTGATCCATAAAAAACTTCAGCCATTTCGAAAAACTAAATTTGATAACGTTTTTGGTTTATTTTAATTGATTTGGGTTTTCCAACATTCAATCGTCATTTACTCGAAAACTTTCCTTTGTAAGATGGCAACATTTTAATACTGTCGGACCGACAATGAAACGATCTTTCAGAATCAAGAAAGAAAATAGGGGGTTGCCATTTAAAAAAAATGTCGATGACGTCATTACTGGAAAACAAATGACGGTTGAAAATCGCCTTTTACGCTAAAATATGTATTTTTTAAATTAAAAATCGACCTCTTCGAGGATTTTTCCCAAAAAAATTTGTTTCGTTTTAACTGAATTTATTCCATACTTTAGGGGCGTACGGTATATTGATTGAAAAACTGTGACTTGCTTTTAGACCATGCAAATCGTTCTATTGAGTCGAAAGGGAACTATTTTGAATAAAATAAATCGGTTTCTCCAAAAAAAAAATTGTTATTATTTTTAAAAAGTCCTGTCTACTTTGAAATGCATTAAGTAATGGATTTTTTCAAAGAAATGAATCTTTTTTAGTTTATTTGGAAACTTAATACGGCTACTCAATAATAACTCTGCATATAAATAAATAAATAAGCTCCAGTTTTGAAATTAAAAAAGAAGCCGTGAAATAAACACGGTACAAAAAATAAACAATTTCACACTACTTAATCTGGGACAATGCTCTCAGGTTTTATTTAACTTCTGTTAAAGTTGTGTGTTGAACCAAAATGAGATATTAGTGTCAATGGTAATATCAAATACGCAGTAATGTTTGTTTTAATAAGCTAAACAAACAGGGAAAATATTTCATGTTATTAGATAAATAATAATAATTTATATAAATTTTCCACCAGAGGTTATCGGTCACGAAAATCAGTAGTAGTCAGCTAACATGGAAGTAAATATTCTTCGATTCCTGTTGAATCACAAACACTTGCATAGGAAACATCTTGATAAAAGTATGAAATAAAGAAACATGTGCAGTCGTGGACAAAGAAAACGTTCTAGACGTTCAATGAGGTTTGTAAAGGAAACTTTTTGTTGTCCACATCTGTACATAATGTTTAATAATGAACGATACCCATGGTGATGGCGTCCAGTTTTAAAATTACTCTTAAAAGTTGATTGCCCATTTGGTGCTAGATAAAAAAATATGTTTGTTGGCTAGTCTGATAATATGACATTCCTAAGTATATATTTATTTACTTTCTCCCGATTTACACTGAATTCTTTTATCTCGAGTTGTGTTTCTCTTAATTGTAATTTGAACAAATTCACACTGATTTAATTTAGCCTGTTGAGTTGAGTAACACCAGCAATATCTAGTACCTAATAAATAATTATTTTAACAATTGTAATACTAATGTTAAATAGATTTGTTGTTTGCGCGAATTTGATAAACGGTGTTTCCTAACCAACGAACCGGATGTATAAATTTGCCGAAAAAATGTATTTTGCACTGATATCTCTCCCTGATCATAGATCCTACTCGATGCCACATATTTTGCAAGCATCCGTATTTTTTTATTGTAACCCTTTGACCCTGGATCCTCCTTCAATGACCTTGAAGATAAGAGGGCTTTAATTAGAAAATGTTTGTCACTATGTATGCAGCAGGAGACATTTATTAAAATGTACGTATAAAGTTTCAAGATCTTTTTATGATAACCCCGTCATTTTAAATCTTTATCCTCCCAAAAAGCCATTCAAGGGCCCCAAAACGTAAGAATTGGAAGGAGCAAGGTTAAGATTTCACTATTCCTCTGGTGATGTTTTATAAATATGTCCCTAGGTCTCAAAAAAGAATATACAGGGCAATTGTGAATTTTCTAATATTTCTAGATACACCCTATATACCAAGTATGAAAAAAATAGTAATTCATTATTTATAAAGTGAATTGAAACATATAAAAAATTAACACTTCATCGCGTGATTCCTAAAAATAACCTGCTGGATTTTTATGCAATCGTGTAATTTATTACGTCAGCGTTTTGGGGGTAACCTCTTTATCTTTACCAGTCGAAAACAAGCAAATGCAATTTAGATATACTTACTACTTTAATAAGTTTGTGCATTGATAGTACATTCATAAAAATAGATGTTTCGTTTCGACAATGAATCATCACTACAACGTTTGATAAAAACGTTTGCTTAAAAGGCAATATTTGTTATATAAATCACTGTTTTTTTTTAAAACTGTTTTTTATTGATTTTTTTAATCTCTAAAATCCAAACATGTAAAGCCAGTGTACAAACTCCATTAAATTAGCAACAGAATGTTCTAAAAACTTCCTACTTAAACCGTTTTTGTACCTCTTATAATTTCCGAGATATCCCATCACCAAAATGACCCACCTTACTCGTAAGATAAATCTAAAATTGAAATAAAAGTAAGTATCTTGAAAAATAGCTCGCTCACAGGAGTGAAAATCGAATTCGAACCTCTTAACTCTTCTGCCTCGAACATCATTGATTAGAGACTTTTCTAACCTAAAAATTTACGTCTAAAATACGTCGAGAATGATGTACGCGCGCTTTGCAATAACTTTGGTTAAAATTATTATTTTTTTTAATTTTCAAAAAATAAATGTTTGTTATGAGAAAACGTAACTATTAACACATAAAAAATTGCACTAGCTATAAAAATAAACTTTTTACCGCCATTTAAACATTTAATTTGTTAATAACAAATAAACTGACCACTTTCAAGCTTTGCGACCAAGTTTTTTGGGTTCAAGAGGTCAAACTACTGAAGAATAAGGTATTTGCAGCCGTGGCACTCCGATTGGCCACGGAACCCTATCTGGCTCCTAGACTATATGAAATAACAAGTGGTTACGAAAGTTGCGGCACCAAAATATCGGCTCAAACCTACCGTGACACTTACACCTCTCAAAATCCAACACCCCAAATAATAATCTCACGGTCAATTGCCAGACCCCTAACCTGGTTACACGAAACCTGCTCGATATTACGAGAAAGAAATTTGCACCATCGTTCTAGACCCTAATACAAAATTTAAAGTAGCACTGCTGCCAAAAATTTGAACTATTATGCAAGTAACGAAGAAAAAACCTAAAAATTCCGAAGACGAAAGAGTAAACAGTAAATAATCAGTTGTTTACACTTCGCGCTACCGATTCTTGGAGCATCTGGGGTGATAAGGAAGGCCAAGGATGCTACAAAGGTCCAACTCGGTGACTGATTCCGTATAAAAGGGTACGAGACCAAGTGCATAGGCGTCAGTGAGTTTTGAGCTGGCGTTGCAGTAAGTTGGTGGATTCGCAGAGACAAGCAAGATGATCAAGAACGTAGTTTTTGTTGCCGTTGCTATTTTCGCCTTACAGGTGAGTACAGTGATTTTTTTCATTGGCGCAACTATTTTTTTAATACCTGGTCGTTGAATATATACAGGGTTGCCACCGAAACAACTGATTTCCCCGGTAACATTTATATTTTTGGGGACAGAAAAACAGATCGCGCTAAAATATAAAATAACACAAGGTATTCCATTTAAAGAAATCTTAAATTATACCGAGAAGAACAGTGCGCTATGTTCAATTGTTTTTTTTATCAATCTTCAAAACCTTAAAGGACCATACGAGTGTTTTTTTTCCAAAGCCAAAAATAAAAAAGGTATTGGTGATCATTTTCGGTGAAAAAGCTATATTAAAACTTTTGACCTGAAGCTAAAATTAATATACATATTTTTTTGCTCTATTACAATTTGTTTGAATTAGTTTAATACTTAATACAGTAAAAAACATAATAATAATAGAATATATGTGTTTTCGAAATAAAAAAATAATATTTCTGTATTAAATTTTTATCTAACTTTTAATATACAGGGTGTTTCAGAAAGACCTTTGGTAAATACAGGGAGTGATAGTACGACAGAAAATAAGAATTGTTTGTCTTATGAACTATATGTCTATCTCCTCTTGTTTTTGAGATACAGAATGACAAAATAAATTTTTCTAAATAGAATTTTTACGAAAATTTGCAAACGCTGCGAAATATTTTTATGAAATTTGGTATTCCGGGGTTTTTAAGGACGCCAAATACGCTGGTCTAATTATTTTTTGGATATTTCATAGAAGGTGCTAGTTATGCTACATTCCTATTACATTTTAAGTTCTAATTTTTTTAAGGTAAGGTTTTTTACCATTCGGGCTGCAATCTCTAATGTACAATTTTATTTTCTACAAATAATGTACTCTTGTTAGAACCTCCTAATGTGGACGGTTTTCGAGAAAAATGACTTTTAATTAAACTCTTACAATATTAAGGTGTATAAAATAAGTGACTTTTCTCAAAGTAGGCTTATGTTAAAACTTATTGATGGATGTCTCATAAACAACGAATATATTCTTAGTAATATTTTAAACTCTAATTAACCTTATATCAAAATTTTAGTGATTGTTAGTTAGAACTAAAAATGTAATAGGAATCTAGCGCCCTCTATGAAATATTTAAAAAATAATTAGACCAGCGCATTTGGCATCCTTAAAAACCCCGGAATACCAAATTTTATAAAAATATATCCCACCGTTTGGAAATTTTCGTAAAAATTCTATTTAAAAAATTATTGTATTATTACTTATTTGTTGTCGTGCTATCACCCCCTGTATATACGGGAGGTCTTTCTGAAACACCCTGTATGAAAATGCGACAGTTTGAAACTAATTTTCAATAGGTTTTATATAATTTTCATCATAAATTTATTACTATTATAGTTTTATTTTACATATATATTGCATATTTTAATTTAAAATAATGGGAAAATATTAAAAGGTAATAAATAATATAATCGACTAAAAATATAACTAAAAATTTTACTCATAATTTTTTTAAATGTTTAGAAACCAAAGAAACACCCTTTACAGTTTTATTTTTTTAGAATTACTTTCCTTTAACAAATTATATCTCGATATCTTTAATATTTGTAAATATACAGAGTGTCCCGATATGCTTATGTTAAATATCTTTTTAATATAGAAGTAGACAGAAATAAGCACAAAAATGAGCTTATGATGAACTCTTTATTGATGTTTTAAAGAGTAGGTACATCATATGTTACAAAACAGTGACTTTTCCAAAAATCATATTAGATAAAATTTGTCGTTTTTGATGAATTAATTATATTGGTTAAAATTTTGACACCTATTTCTGAAACCTCCTGTACGTGGACAAAAGAAACATCATTTGCAGCTTTGTTTCTTAACACTACTTTACTCCTTTCTATTAACAAACAACAAGATATCTTAATTTCTTTAATATTGATAAAAAACATAGTTGAGGACAAAAAAATTGTCGTACCTAAAAGCCTTGAAAATGCTTATTGAGCTGTTTATCTCTGAAACTTTTTACTGTCCTGCTGTACCTACTTTGTTTGCAAACTTTTATCGTTAATTGTATATTTTGGCAACTCTTTATCTCCACAGCTGTACTTGCTTCGATAAAACTAATTTTTACAAGCCTTTTATCTTGAATTGTTTATTTCGGAAACTTTTTATCATCCACAGCTGTTCCTACCTTGACAGTACTCGGAAACTTTTTGTCGTCCACAGATGTACCTACCCTGTCGGCACTAATGTTTACAAGCCTTTTATCCTCAATTGTCTATTTAGGAGACTTTTTATCGTCTACAGCTGTACCTACCTCGACAAAACTGATTTTTATAAGCCTTTTATTGCCAATTGTTTATTTTCATCGTCCACAGCTGTAGCTACTTTGGCAGCATTCATTTTTACAAGCCTTTTACCGTCAATTGTTTATTTCGGCAACCTTTTATAGTCCACATCTGTACCTACATTGACAGTATTAATTTTTACAAGCCTTTTATCGTCAATTGTCTATTTTGGAAACTTTTATCGTCCAGAGCTGTACCCACCTTGAAAAACTAATTTTTACAAGCCTTTTATTGGCAGTCTCGTTAGTTCTATTGTTTATAAACATTCAAAGCAGGAAGCGAATGTACTGCAGAGCTTCAATAGAAGCCATAACAATTAAATTGCAGAATCGAATTACAGTTCGTGGCTATATGTCGTACATAATTGATTGTAATGCATTTCTGTTCCCATATTTGAGTTTGGACGGAGTCAATGGAATTATTTAATTCAACGAGTGTAACAATTAGAGGGATAATATCAGCGCTGCCTTGAAAATTCGATGCCTGTTCACGTGATAATCTCCAATTTTGTATACAGGGTGTTATTGCTAAGCCAAAAGCGAAGCCCGCGGAAAAATCTCAGCTGCAAGAGCTCGCTGCCAACGCTCAGACCATCGTCAACAACGTTACCAGCGCGATAGAAGGAAATCTACCCGACTCCAAACAAGTCGTAGAAGCCCTAAACACCCAAGCCCAAACCCTGGCTAACCACGTTCAGACCGCTGTGGACAAGATCAAGACTGAGGTAAGCTTACAATCACGCGACAACTTTTTTTTCTCACGACCTGACTAAAATTTCGTTATTTCAGGTGAAAAACAACCAAGGAGAGATCGACACAGCTCTGAAAACAGTATCTGACAAGCTCAGCGAAGTAGCTGCTAACCTTAAGTCGGCCCTTGGTCCGGAGGGTCAGAAACAGGCGCAAGAAATCAAAGCCAAACTGGACAAAGGTCTTAAGGATGCCGTTGCTCAAGCAGAGAAGCTGACCAAAGCTATTGAACCGGAAGCTGCCAGTAAGTTTCGATTAACAATCCCATTTAGACTTCTTTTTGTTTGCAAACGTGGAATAGTGAGTGTCAAATGTTTCTGACTCGTATCTTTTTCGTTCGCAGAAGTCAAAGAAGACCTGAGCAATGCCACCAAAACATTCCTGGATCAGATCATCGAGGTTGGCAACAATTTGAGGGAACAAGTGAAGACTTTGGAGAAGCCCAAACAATAGACGAACTCTGATGCCATGTCTGTATTTCTACTGTACTGTTTATTTTTTATCAGAACTCAAGACTTTTAGCGTAATAAAGTTTATTTCTTTGTAAAAAATATATTTTTATACCGAATTCCCTAGAAAGTTTTTAATAAGTGATGATAAAAAGCGTGGGTTTCTGTTTTTGTAACTCTTGTAATATAAAAGAACTTAACATAGTAAATTTAGAAATTACTAAATCTAAATTAGAAAAGAATTGCTGTATAAGTACCTACCAATATTAATATCAATCTCTAATTAAATATTAAAAAAATAGGGCAATCATTTACCTTTTTTTTAAGATTTCTTCTAAACGTCTGATAATTATTTAGATCCTGTTTTAATAACGTGCCCTTGCAGGAAGAAATTATGATAAGGAGTTATAAAATGTCACTTGACCTTGAATAAGTTTGCATCTGAGCTAGCTCCAGCGTATACTGCGTATTTATATCTACTTGGACCACCCTGTATACGCCTTTTAAGTAATCTCTAATATAATAATTTTTAGTGGCATATCACCCCTGTAACTTTTATATTGGTTGTCTGATAGAGTAAATGCAATGTTGCCAGCTTATCACTGTTTCAGAGAATGCAAGAAAACGACAATAGTAACTTTAACTAAGTTTTAATATAGATTCGTATACATGAACAAGTATTTATTAAAATTAATTAAACTAAAATTGAATTTAGACAATCTACACTCGAGTCTGGCCATCTGTCTGTATCTTCTGTATCAGGTCTTTCCCTTGCTGCTGCACGGTCTGTCCAAACTGTTGCAGGGTTTCGCTCACGTTTCTAAACAACTCGTTGCCCTGGAAAATAAACGCATTTTCACTAAATGTTGAGTACAAAGTAAGTAAAAGTTATTTTGAATATTTTGTACAATATCTTGTTCCCTACTTGGATGTTTTTCACCAAGTCGTCAAGGCCAGTTTTGAAGGAGTGAATGGCGTCGTCTATGGTTTGACTAGCGTTTTTCTCGTCAGAGGGAGCTGCTCTCCGGACGACACTGGCTTGACTCTCCCATGTCAGGGCCTAGAAAAAAGTTCATAGTTTGGAGTTTATGTTTTGCAAATATTTTGCTTTTAGGACATAAGTGTATCATTATATTTCCTAATAATCTTGTAGCTACTGTTAATAATATCATATTTAATAAAAAAATATTCGCACGACTTGATATTTCTTACTAGTACTCAATAAAACGTGGTAGGTTTTGTTATACCTACTGGTTGCTATGGTACATTGTTTATTATTATCAATTATTTAATAAACAGTTCTATCTGAATTTGGTAGAAATGCAAGAAAGTAATTGTGTTCCTGTGGCTGCTTTTGAAGAAGCTCAAGAAGCAATTTTCCATTTATTGCCAGCGAAATTCAGGGAACATTACGAAAGAGTGTCCGCCGAATTTAACGAATGGAGGGAAAAACGGTGAGTAATGATAATAAATGAAGAAGACATGCTATAGTATTTTCTAAATTTGAAGAAAACATATGCAATTTTATCTGTGGTCAAAGTATTCGATGTTGAAGGCTACTATAAAGGTCTACAAAAATATAGATATTGGAAAATATAATAAGCTTACTGCTTATTTGAAGAGTGAATCGAGAGGATACAAAGCAAAAAAACTGCAGTATTGGAAAGAGCACATCTTGAAGAATTTTTGACTGAGGCTTCCGATAAAGAATATTTAATGATTAAGGTAATATCTCTTTACCTTTTTCCATGTTGTTAGGTATACAGGGTGTAACTAAATAAGTGTAAAATATTTAAGGGGGTGATTCCTCATCGAAAAAAAATAGGATCTTTCATATAAAGAAACTTCATTGGAGCATCCCTTGTTAAGATACAGCCCCTTAAAGGGGGTACATAAAATTTGTTTAACAATTTTTTTCACAAGCACTAAACAAGTTACAATATTGAAATTAACCTGACATTTTCTACTACCAAAAAGACACTTAGCCAGTAATTTATTTGGTTTACCCCATGGTTGTAAGGGGTGGAAAACGCAACCCCTAAAATTTATTTCCAACGTAATTTTTTGTCTTATTATTTTTTTACCATTTAAAAATTTATTTCCGATAGCCTGTTTCATTCTAAAAAAAAATGTCTCTTGAATTTTTTGCCCAAATTAAACCAGTTCGCAGCAAAAAATTATTTTACGAACAAGATACATATCGCCATAAAACGAAAATACGAAACTAATTTATCTAGTAGGCCGCCATTAGCGATACTGACAATTAAATTGGAATCAAGCTGTCAGTTTGTAAATTTTTGAAATTGAAGTAATACTAATTGTGTATTGTTCTGTTCTTAATTTGTTACTTTAATAATTCACTTGTTATTAAAATGGCATACACAAATGAGGAAATGGCTGATATGCATTACGTTTACGGTCTGTCGCAGGGGAATGGGTTAGAAGCTTCTACAAGATATGCTGAAATGTATCCTCAACGGCAGCATCCTTCACATAGAATATTTGTCTGACTTCATCAACGATTACGTGAATATGGTTCATTCAACAAAAGAACGCAGGATTGTGGTCGCCATCGAGAAGTAAGAACACCACAGCTTGAGGCAGCAGTACTTAATTTGATAGAAGAACAACCTACTACCAGTACTAGAAAGATTGCTTTCCAGCTAAATGTTGATCATATGACGGTATTTCGAATTTTAAAGGAACATCTCTTATACCCTTACCATCTGCAACGAGTACAGGCACTGTTACCGCGAGACTTTCCGAACCGTCTTGAATTTTGCAATTGGATGCTGGAAATGATTAGAAGAAATCGTGACTTTCTGAAGACGATCGAATTCACAGACGAATGTAGTTTTTCTCGGGACAAGATTATTAATTTTCATAATTACCACATATGGGCTGATGAAAACCATCACGCTATTGTCGAAACTAACCATCAAGAACAGTTTTCTCTTAAGGTGTGGGTCGGAGTTATTGGGGATTATTTAATTGGGCCTCATTTTCTACCTCCTCGATTAAATGGTGAGGCATACGTTCAATTTTTAAGAAAAGTGCATCCCCCCGTACTGCTGGAGGAAGTTCCTTTGGGCGTCAGAAGGGATATGGTTTTTATGCATGATGGGGCTCCCGCCCATTTTAGTCAAGTAGCACGTCAGCATTTAACTGAAACATATGCAAATCAGTGGATAGGTCGAGGAGGACCACAGAATTGGCCCGCTCGATCCCCGGATCTCAATCCTCTGGATTTGTCTACTTGGGGCCATTTGCAGCATTTGGTTTATCGTACTCCTGTTCGCGATGTAGAGGACTTAAGAAACCGCATTATCGATGCGTGCAGGGTAATTAGAGAGACTCCAGGAATATTTGAGCGAATACGTGGCTCAATGCGCCGACGTCTAGACGCATGCGTAATGTCTGAAGGTAGACATATTGAACATTTACTATGATTTCTACATGTTGTATGTTTTGTTATTATTAAATTAGTTTTGATTATTCCCCTTTAATCATTTAATGCAGGTAGTAACTACAAAATAACAGTAAATCCAGTCCGCATTTATGACGATGTATCTCTGTAGTTGTTCGTAAAATAATTTTTTACTGCGAACTGGTTTAATTTGGGCAAAAAATTCAAGAGACATTTTTTTTTAGAATGAAACAGGCTATCGGAAATAATTTTTTAAATGGTAAAAAAATAATAAGACAAAAAATTACGTTGGAAATAAATTTTAGGGGTTGCGTTTTCCACCCCTTACTACCATGGGGTAAACCAAATAAATTACTGGCTAAGTGTCTTTTTGGTAGTAGAAAATGTCAGGTTAATTTCAATATTGTAACTTGTTTAGTGCTTGTGAAAAAAATTGTTAAACAAATTTTATGTACCCCCTTTAAGGGGCTGTATCTTAACAAGGGATGCTCCAATGAAGTTTCTTTATATGAAAGATCCTATCTTTTTTTCGATGAGGAATCACCCCCTTAAATGTTTTACACTTATTTAGTTACACCCTGTATAGTGAGCTTTGAATTATTTTGGGTTGCACTAATAATGGGGGTTTCTTGTGCCTGTCGATGCTGCGAATTGACAAATTTGAAAATTAGTGACATTTCAAGAAAATTTACAATTATAGAAGAAGGATTTTGCGTGAATGCTGTTGCAATATGCAGAAAATATATTTCTCTGCGCCCAATTCGCTTAACACAAGACATATTATTTTTAAGATACATCAATCAAAAATGTTGGAATCACCACATTGGCGAAGGTACCTTCAATAGTTGCTTCAGTCCTGAATATCGCAAATTCAGAAGCATATGCTGGCCATTGTATGAGGCGCACCTAAACAACTTTATTGGCCGATAAAGGTGCTGATCTTACAACCATCAAACGGCATGGTAGATGGAAGAACTTGGTGTTGCAAGGAAAATCCAAGGAATATATAGCTGTTCTTTACAAGAAGAGACATCCGTAACTTGTGCAAATTCTTCACAGATGTTATGGGTTCCGAAAATGATGGCAACAATGCTACAAGGGTTGTTATTAACGGAAAGGAAGTTAAATGTGATAAAACAAACAACGAAAGGTCTATTACTATAAATGTGAATTTTAATGTTAATAAGTAAATAAATTTGATTGATGATATTTATTATTTTTTCATTATTCTACTAGTGAAATAAAGTTACTTTATTCCACTAATGTATAAAGTATCACTTCAGACAGTTCATTTGTGTGGATAAAAGTCCGATTATAAGGTGATTGTGGATAAAATATTTAACAATTGCCTTAATTTCGTAACACGTGTAGCATAAAAACATTTAATCGTATTTTTTTTTAAATATTGATAAACAGATAAAAATAAATGTTTAGATAAGCAAGGTCGAAAGGTCTGTGCAAAAAAATAGCTAATATTCCTAGAATTTTATAGCCAAACACATACCAATGTAATTCAGTATTCTATTTCCATTTAACTGACCCGAAAAACTTCAATTCTTCAAATTGCACTTAACAGATAATGAAATATTGTGTACCCCATAACAAAACATGCCTCTAACAATTTAAAAATGGCCTTGGGAATTGATGAATCATTTCATATACATAGCACAACTCATACCTGTATACAGGCAATCAATGACAAATCTGTTTGTAATTGTATTCAATTTTATTATGCTTACCCTTGTGTAATTGTCTTATCAAAGAACCATGCGTAATTTTAATAGGAAATACAAAATTAGTACTTTGTATTGACTAAAATACTAAGAAATGTAGTTAAAGTAACGGAAAATTTTCGTTTGTTTCTTTTTAAAACGCAACCTAATCAAGGTGAGCTTTTTTCCCATCACTATTATGTTTTTTACTTAAAATAATGTCACTGTTATACTGTTTGTTTTGCTTGTCAGACAATGCATTTTTTATTATTTTCGGATTAAAGTTATATAATAGTAAATTAAAATTTTTTAAAAGGAATATATATTATGTAGAACAACAAATCTGGGAAAATTAATTTTAATTTTAAAAAAATATGTGACCAACACCTAACATCAGATTAGAAATAATAAAATGTTTCATACTATTATGCAAATACGTACATATACAGGGTGATTCACAAATGATGTCCAAAAATAAAAGTTTTACAGGAAAATCAGGCTTTTTTCGAAAAACATAAGAGTAGTAATTTGTAGAAAATTGAAAGACGAATCCGAAAATATCATGGTTGTTACCGTAAAGCAGTGGCGTACTATTTTATTCGGAGAAATATGCCACCGATACCCTGTTTCACCGCCACTGGAGCATGTAAATTTTAGGAAAAGCCCTCAGCATTTGGACAATGTTTACAGAAATACATGTGCCTAATTTTTAAATTATTTCACTTACTAGTTTTTAAATTATTCAAAAAAAAATAAAAATATTTTTTGAAGTTTAACACCCTGTATCTTTTTAACGAAGCGTCCTAGATAAAAACTTTATAGGAAAGGCTTTCCTTAAAATTCACCAAAGAATACAAGGTTTAATTTTTGGTCGCCAGTTGTGAATCACCCTGTATAATGAAATAAAAATCAAGACAAACATAATGTGAATAAAATATCTTTTAACGTAAGATTTATTGAAATTTTCTTTTTAATTTTCTTTTTTCTTCGATGTTTTTTTGCGAAGAAAAAATATTTTTAATTTTAAAAAATTAAAAGATGCAAAATTTATTCTTTAATCGATTTTTAGCAAAAGTGACAATTTCAATCAATATTTGCAGCGGTTTTAGCTCTTGGGGGTTTTTTTTATGTTAAAAAAACGAAAATATACTTAGGTACCTACTCTATTCATTATTTGTAAAGTTAACTCAAGTTTAGCAAAAATCATTAAATACACAATGTTTAATTTTTTTTTAATCAAGTCTTTTGCAATGAAATTTTTTATCAGAAAACGTTAAGAACGTTCATAGAGAATATTTTGAAGTTTTCAAAACTGCCTATACTACAATTAATTCCAGATTAATTAATTATCAAAGCCAAAAAGGTCATGTTTGCTTTAAACAACACTAAAAGAGCTGACAGGTAGAATTGCCAAAAAAAATTATTGAAGCTCGTGTAACTTTTGAAAGGGATGCAAAAATTTTAAATTTTGGACTTTCAGATTCTGAAAATAGAAACTATAAGCTTCAATTTGCTTTGCTTTTGAATGCTCTACGACCATCTGTAACAAAGTTACAACCATTTAAAAATCATTTTTTGTAACTAGTTCATATAAAAAAGATAATTATATAATTTTATTTCACCTTTGCCGCATAATGTGAATTTTAACAAGTTTATACATGCAATAATAATAAAAAAAATACTCTGATATCAACTACTTTTGACAAAAATATTACTTTCCTATGTTATTTATTTCCCTCTACACATTAAACAAATAAATATTACCTGGAACACCACGAAAGCTGCCAAAACTACAAAACCCAACCTCAGTGCCATGTTTTTTGTCGTTTGTACTGGAAGAAAATATAAACGGATGCGAATAGCAGCACGAACCGACTTAGAGTAATATGGAGGAATTGAAGCAGAGTTTAAATACGCTTTAGTATGTATAGGCTGCTTCGACAAATTTTAGCCAGCCATACGTATCGCATTAATAATAGTTTTAATTTTTGTTTTGGTAAATCCCCTTGCTCGGAAAAGTTTGCAGTGAAAATATTCCAGTTTCGAAGGGAATCATAAGTGGAGCATTTACTAATATTTACCACACCTGATACCTGTTAAATTAGTGCTAATTGTATTACGCTATGTGTGGAAACTGCCGAATTGTTGAAATTAATGATTTTACAAGAAAACTTTTCATAAAAAATTGTTCCCAGTTATTTTGAATATTTAAAAGAGGAAGATTTTTTGTACCACGTCAATTAAAATGCATTTAATCTGTATAAAATCGTTTCCAATCCATGTAGAGAGGTATTTGAGCATACAGAAGTATTTTTTATTAATTCCTTGTAGAAAACAAGGCTTTAAAACAATTATATGTCACTTTTCACAGTAAAATAACGTCAATATCTTCAGTACTGTTAAACGGAAGAAATTAAGTTGATATATAAAATTATAAGTCTTAATTATTTTAATTATTTAATTTTTGGCCACAGTAGTAAGAAACGGACTATACGTGAAGTCCACAACAAACAATAACAAAGATAACGACTCTAAATTGCTACAAGTGAACTTCGGCCTGTTGAACATTTCTTATCGTGTCGGGTCAGTCTCTTTAGTATTTCATTTACAATTAGACGAAATTGTAAAATAACTAATCTCTGTCTTGTAACAGAATTCGTGGAAATCCAAATATCAGACGATTTGTAATGTACTGATTACTATCCAACGAAATAATAAGGTTCATTTTTCAACTAAATTGTATTAAATCATATTTTAATGCTATTTTACGCAGCCAACATAGCCTAATACCAGATGAATTACACAGCCAGCAGTTTTTCCAGATTTAGTGCCTTGTGATAATTAGATATAGGAATTTTTTAAATCTAGTGAGCCTCAATGCCAAAGATAACTACCAAAACACCAAAAAATAAAAAATTTCGTATCTGAAGTTGATTAAACAACGAAAATAATCATGTAGCTTCACAATACTTTTCAACCTTAAACCTGAACCCAAAAACATAACCTCAAATTTATCAAATCTAACCTCAAAGTAATACGCTGACTCTTTTCTAAATCTATGGGTATAATTACATAAAAACTATAATTTTAAGTTTATATTTCCTAACTCTAAAGCCATAAACCTACACCCATAAAAATCTAACCTCAAACCCTTAAAAACTTAACCCCAAACCTTCAAAACCCAACTATAAATTCTAAAAACTTGAGCTAGAAATTCATAGAACGTATATGTTCCACACCAAAGAATAAACCTCACCTGAAACCTCAAATATATGCTATGTTCATAAAAACCTAACCTCAAACCCTTAAAAACCTAACCCCAAACCCTCAAAATCCAACTATAAATTCTAAAAACTTGAGCTAGAAATTCATAAAATGTATATGTTACACACCAAAGAATGAAAGTCCTGGAAAACAATTTTTTGGAACTTATATTTTTTCTTTTGAAGCCCTTAACCTCTATTCTTAAATATCTAACCCCAAATCCAAGAAATTTGAGCTAGAAAGTCAAACGAAGAATATTTTCCAAATCAAAGAATGTGACTTCTTGAAAAATTTATTCTGGAGTTAATATTTTGTATTTCTGAAGTCTCAAACCTATTCTATGTCCATAAAAACCTAACCTCAAACCCTTAAAAACCTAACCTCAAACCGACAAAACCCAATTTCAAATTCTAAAAACTTGAGCTACAAATTCATAGAACGTATATGTTCCACACCAAAGAATAAAACTCCTTGGAAACTATTTTCTGGAATTGATATATCTTCTTTTGAAGCCCCTAACCTCTATTCTTAAATATCTAACCTCAAATCCAATAAATTTGAGCTAGAAAGTCAAACGAAGGATATTTTCCAAACCAAAGAATGTGACTCCTTGAAAACTCTATTCTGGAGCTAATATTTTGTATTTCTGAAGCCTCAAATATATACTATGTTCATAAAAACCTAACCTCAAACCCTTAAAAACCTAACCCCAAACCCTCAAAATCCAACTTCAAATTCTAAAAACTTGAGCTAGAAATTCATAGAACGCATATGTTCCGCATCAAAGAATAAAAGTCCTTGGAAAGTATTTTCTGGAACTTATATTTTTTCTTTTGAAGGCCCTAACCTCTGTTCTTAAATATCTAACCTCAAATCCAAGAAATCTGAGCTAGAAAGTCGAACAAAGGATATTTTCCAAATCAAAGAATGTGACTCCTCGAAGACTCTATTCTGGAGCTAATATTTTTGTATTTCTGAAGCATCAAACCTATGCTATGTCCATAAAAACCTAACCTCAAACCCTTGACACTTATTGTCAAATCCACAAGAAATAAGTGGATTTTTAGATAGATAAAATTTCATTCGATTAATTATAAAAATTTCAACAATTTCAGCTAAAAACTGACTCAAAATCTATATTAGGTATTTACCGAAATTATTCAATAGACTGCATTTCGTTATCTTTATTTATATAAGACTTTATTTATATAAGCCTTTTTACCACTTCAAGGTAGCAGCCTATAAAAGAGTTGTTTTCTGTTTTTTAATTTTTATTTAATTATTTTTTTTGTTTTTGTCTTTTTGTTTTTGTTTTTTTTTGTTTTTGTCTACTTTTAATTTTTATTCAATGTTACAAAAATTTTCATTCAATTTTTAAATACCGTGTTGAGGTTGATGGGGTTCTCACTCGATTTAAAAAATTACTATACAGATATATCAAATTATCGCACCAGGATCATAAAATTAAGCATATTTGAAGTAGAATAAAAAAAGAAATTACCACTACGGTTAAAATAGTCGAATGCTTAGAATTTTTTCCCATATTTCCCACTCCGCCAAGCCGACAGGACAGGCATTAGGGTGCCGCTAGAAACGCATCGAATAAATTGATCGATGCGAAACTTCAAATCAGAGGCAGATACATATGTACATTAGTAAAAATAGCATCTATAAAAAATTCGACTATTTTAGATATACGCCGGTAAATGTTGAAGAGTCATGTTTGTTTTTAAATAATATTTTATTCTCTTTTCTATTGAGTAAGAAATTATTATTTTGATAACTTTTACTGGTACTTATTATTACGTACTATATGCCTATACATTTTATGATAGGTTCCATGTAAAGCCTTTAGTGTAGAAAAATAGGCACTGCCCCTTTTTGTTTCATACTATTACGCAAATACTTACATATACAGGGTGATTCACAAATGGTAACCAAAATTGAAACCTCGTATTCTTTGCTGAATTTTAAGGGGAGTGTTTCCTATAAAGTTTTTATCTAGGATGCTTTGTTAAAAAGGTACAGGGTGTTACACTTCAAAAAATTTTATTTAATAATTTAAAAACTAATAAGTGAAATAATTTAAAACTGGCCATATGTATTTATGTAAACATTGTCCAAAATTTGAAGGTTTTTCCTAAAATTTACATGCTCCAGTTGCGGAGGTACAGGGTATCGGTGGCATATTTTTCTAAATAAAATAGTACGCCACTGCTTTACGGTAACAATCATGATATTTTCAGGTTCGCCTTTCAGCTCCTGAGATCAAAATAAGCAGATTTGCCTAAACTTACCTCTGTCTAAAGTTGACAAAAAGTACCACATTTTTTATTAGTGTTATACAAATGAGTCACGCCCATTCTGATCTTTGCACGTCATCAAAAACAATTATAATTACTTCAATTGCATACCTTTATTAAAATTAAGGGAAAAAAACATGAAAAACACATTAAAACGTAGTCACTAATTAGAATAATGTTAAGAATGTCATGTTTTAATTGTTGTAAAAGTTGTCTGATATGTTATTCTTTTTTTAACGTATACATCAACGGTAGGACTTACAAGGCTACCTTCGATTGTGTATAAAATATTTTTGCTTGGTAAGCACTGTTTAGAAAACATCATCTTCATCGTCAGTGCAAACACATACCAGCCATGTGGAAGGTAGTTGTAGTTAGCTGTTTGGTAACTCAAATCCTGGTAAGTTTATTAGAATGAAGTTTAAATCATTTTAACTTAAATATATTTTAATACTGGGAAAAGATGTCATATATTTTAATACTGGGAAAAGATGTCACGATTTCCTACATCTATGTATTGTTTTAGGTATGTAGGGTGACTTCAAGGGCAGTAGAACCAATGGATTCTTCCGAAGAGGCTACAGCCGAACCAGTAGATATCCCTATTAAGATAGGACCTATAAGAAGGTAAAGAATTAGCTGTGTTAGAAAAAGATTTGAATTTGACGTTGACTCATGTTTTAGCCCACCTAAGAATTTTTCGATCTTCAACCAAGTGGACGACCCCTTTTTCAGCTTTATGAGCAAAATGGCGAATTTTGGTTACCTTTCTTCGCAGGTGGCTATAAGCAGGATGAAAGATCACAGTCAGAAAATTAAAGACATTGGAGGGCAGGTGGAAGGTTTTATAGAGAATCTACCAACTTTTCCAATACCTATCTTGGATAATATGTCACACACTCGAGTCCTGAACTAAGACAACCATTGTAAATACATGTTATTTTGTTCTAGGTATTTTGTACTATTTATACTTTATTGTTTTGTAAGTGATAATAAAAAAATGGCAGTATGTCCCTTCTTTTCATTTGTTCTTCTTTGGTTTTTACGAAAAGTTACTGTTTGATATTATAGATTTATTTGTTTCGACCTTCCGCTGGTAAAACATTTTTTAGTATACATATTAAAAAGTAGTACTACCAAATTTACTTCAAATCAAATATAATTTTAATGCAACTTAATTTCCATTTCCAAAGTTTTCTTCAAAAATGCACAGCTGTTTCTTTCTTGACGTTCAAACTGCCTGACACTTTGGAAAATTTTAAATATTTTGTATAAAAAAGTCTTTAAGTCCCACTCTATTGTATATTTAAAAAATATATACCTGCTGGATACGCTAGGAAAATTGAAACCCTACATCTTTTAGATGTTGATTAATTTTGCTATTTGCTAATAGGTGGCGCTTATTCCATCTTCATAAAGAAAATTGACATTGATCTTGCGAAACGTCTACTACCTACTTACGAATAGTTAGATTAAATGGATTTAAGAAAATTAAAAATTATTTATTTATTTTTTTTAATTTTGAAAACCCTGCAGCTCGGAAACGGCGGCCTTAAGAGCCTACGTGTGTGTAACAAAATTTACTTAATTTTAGCCACAGAATGGGCCTCTGGTTTTTTCTGTATGCCTTTAATGAACACTGTATAGGTGCTCGCAATGAAATCAGTTGAAATTTCTTATAAAAGTCGTAAAAATACAATTCTACATAAAAATGGCCTCTTGACTTTTTGTAGTATTAAAATTAACAGAGTTGGGAAGGCTGAAAGTCAAGGGAAGATTTCAGAAATTTAAAAAAATCATAACAAGCAGAAAAATTAATGATTAATTAATTTTTTTTCAATCTACTCTAAAAAATGTAACTTTTCTTTTCAGAGAAATAGATATAATTTTTAATTTTTAATCGTTAATTTTTATGATGTAACAAATCTAAAACAATTTTTTTTCTATACTATTCCATTGATTATTTAAAATAATGAAAAGTTGCCTTCGAATTTTTTTACGTTTGTTTTTTAGACAGATACAAATTTATTTACCTTCTTATATTTTGAATTTTATTTAGCTCCTACGACACTGCCAGGACAAAGATAAAAAATCATGTTCGCTTTGTCGCACTCATGGTACCGAACACAGACCACCTAGACTGGCCGTATCTAATTCCAATGCACGGGTACCAGTGAATGCAAAATCCGGGGAAGTGGAGTGTGGAAGGCAATCTGATCGCGCGCATCTTTAAGCAGATCCGGATTAAGTAATATTTTTATTACATATTAAATATTATATTGCATCTTATAACAAATATTCAATTTTAAGTTTGTAATTCAGAAAATAGTATATTTTAGTGTCATATTAAATAAAATTACAAAATAATTTAAATATATTTATTATTTTCTAAATAATATTAATTTATTTAATATTTGTCTTTTCGTAGATTTTACCGAATTAAGTAATTTGACTTCATGATTTATTCGTACATCGATATACTTTTCACATTCAGCCCTTACAAGTTCTATTAAATGATTACCTACAATTGTTAGGCAAATTTTCAAATTGATGTTCATGCAAATTTTCAAATATGTTCACATTCAGAAAGTTTTTTAAAACATGATAAACAATTTTATTTTTCTGTAACCTAGGTGTCCTGCTTTCATCATTATTTAAAAATTTTATTAATTTTTGTTTCTTAGCATATTACTACATCTCGATGGATACGTCAAACAACCACGTTCTTTAATAAAAATTAATTGACTGTACGAATACTGAATCTGAAAGTAGTTTTGTTTGAGATTTTTTTAATTGAAAAAATTATTTAATTAATTTTCAGCTATCTCGAAATGACGGGAATTGGTAAAAATTTCATAAAAATTTAAGACTCGCATAAAGTAAATAATTACTACAAATATTTTACAGTAATTCATTCAATATTTTATAATAACAATATCACGTTAATCACTACACTATGTGGGCGAACAAAATTATAAAGCTAACCCTGGAAACTTGTGACGTTAACCGAAAAATGGCGTACATATTTACCTTTTATATATTCCTTTCTTTTACTTAACTAAAGAAGGAAACTTTTCGCCTCTCTTAACCAACTCGATCACTTCTATTTATACAATGTTTTACAATACACTTGCCCATGATAAAACGTCTAATTATCGAAATCACAGCGACGCGTACACGTCAAATGCTAGGACACGACTGAGCGCTGGGCTCCAAATCAGGCTCCAAAGTGTTTTCACCAAAGTCGCTCTATAAGCCAGTCTAGGTGGTCTGTGGTACCGAAGTTGTGGACAACTCGTATGCTTATGACAAAGATAGATTACATATTTCGTTCGCTATTGTCAGTGCGCGTGCATCAGTAAACGCGTGTTTCTTTAAATTATTGTATGCTCAATATCCATTGTTAATCTCAAAAAGGTAAATACATATGAATAAGGATTAATATTTTTTCTTTTAGCCTAAAACGGATGCGAACTAACCCTCATGTTCACCCCCAAAAATAATATTTCCGTGATAACCCGGGTTATAATCAATATTTTGGAATGCAACAAAATGGAAATTACTTCTTATAAAAAAACATTTATGTTCTTATGTAATGCACCAGTTGAATGAACAGTATGACGATATTCCACCAAATAGAGATACGCTCTGGGAACGTATACAAAATATTTGGAACGCTATAGACGTGAATTATATACGACGCCTTTTACATCTACGCCAAACAGATTACAAGCCGTTGTTGATTCGGATGGTGCTTGGACATATTATTAGACTGTTTTGTTTTTTCATTGTTTATAAAATGATGTCAAAATAAGTAAATAAGTTCATAACATTGTGGGCCCGGAAATGCTTCCTTTCTGATAGATGTAAAATTCTAAAAAATCCTGTTTCTCTAAATATTTCGAAAACGATATAAGATGTTACACTAAGCTTTGATGTATGATGTACAGTGGCAGTGTAATATCTTAAATCGTTTTCGAGATATTTAGAAACAACCGGATTTTAAATTTCTTTCGACATCTATCTCAGAAAGGAAACATTTCCGGACCCATAATGTCATGAATTTATTTAAGTACTTATTTTCATTTCCAGAACACGTCCTTAAAATATTTCCCTTTCCTCTCGAAACTGTATAAGTTATAATAAAACTGTAGTTTACAATATTTTTTATTTTGTTGCCTTTATGACCTACCTACCTACTTTCTGCAGAATATACACAAATTCTTATTTCAAAATATTTATTTTCTCAGGGACAAAAAAAATAATGTTAATGTTAATACGTAAATAAATTAAATTTGATTTATTATAGGTTTATAATTTTTTCATTATTCTACGAGTATAAAGTATCACGGTTCATATTTATTTATTTATTTATTTATTTATTTATTTATTTAGTTGGACACAACTGCCAAGACAGGATGGAGACCAATTATAAGGCAGGTATAATACAGATTAAAAAAACAGATAACATTTGCATTAACATAATTAAAACACAAATAGAGAATACACACTATATATAAATACATAAAAATAGCTACTTAACTTCTATTGAGGATACATCTTTTAATACTGGGAGCATTACAACAAAAAATATCAAGGTGATCCTGATAACGATGATAATTTGTGCACATATCAGATTTGAAACTTAGGTATTTAAGAAATTGCCTCTGAATCTTTTCTAGACTGTTTTTATGAACTTCATAGCCTGGATTCCATACCACATTAGCATATTCAAGTTTAGAACGAAATAGTGAATAATAATGCAGTTTAATAGTGTTCACCAAAAACTTTTTAGAGTTGCGAATGATAAATCCAAGAGATTTATAGGCACTTTTGGTAATGACATTAATATGATTAGCAAAAGTTAGTCTGGAGTCGAACAAAACACCTAAATCCTTAAATTGGTCACATTGTGTTAAACATACAGTATCAATGTTATATGCATACTTAATAGAATTAAAATTGGACTTTCTGGAAAATGACATACAAAAACATTTTTTGATATTAAGTGGCAGGGAGTTAGTGTCACACCAAGAGTTAACCGTTGATAGATCAGATTGCATTTCAGTCTTCGACGTTTTCGATACTCCTGAACAATTTTAGGTCATTTGCGTACAATAATGTATTACTGTAAATATGTACTCATATTTTTAAGTCGTTTATGAATAAATTAAACAAAAGTGGTCCTAAAACCGAACCTTGAGGGACACCTGACGTTGCGTGTATATTAACAGACTTGAAACCACGGTACTGATTCTATGAGACAAATAGGACTGCAGAAAATGAGTAAAATTTAGTGTTAAGCCATAAGAAAATAATTTTTCCAGTAACAAACCATGGTCAAGTATGTCAAACGCTTTAGACATATCAGTATAAATAACGCCAATCTGACCTCCCGTGTCTAAGACTTCTGATACATGCTGATTAAAACATACTAAATTTGATCCTGTGGATCTACCTGTCGCGAAGCCATGTTGATTTGGAGAAATCAGAGATTTAAAATTAAAAGCCATGTTTTCATATAAAACAATTTAAAATAATTTGCTAAAATTGGATAAGATTGCTACCGGCCTATAATTCTCAATTAGAGTTTTGTAATCTTTTTTAAAAAATAGGACAAATCTTTGGCTGTTTCCATAGTGTAGGAAATACTAAAGAACCTAGTGATAAGTTGAAAATGAACGTTAAAGGCTTATATAAAACGTTAGCACAATCTTTTAGCAAAATCGCCGGAATTCCATCAGGCCCTGATGTTATTTTAGGTTTGATTTTTTATATATATATATACATATGTGTGGTTATAAGTCCGATTATAAGGTGATTGTGGATAAAGGTATTTTTAATAACAATAACATTAAAGAATACAAATTCTCTATTCCCTCGACTTGTGTACTGTTTGGGCTACATAATATTGCATTACTGGAATATTATAGGGAAGCAAAATCTTTACAAGATAAATGTATGGCCAACTTCTGTGGTCACCTTTACAAAAACTTCGATATACACTAATAGATGTCGCCCATT